CTCCACCGAGAGTGTTGCCCATGAGTGCCTCGGGTGTCTCAGGCTAAAATAAAGCTTTTGTCTTCACTCTTTTTCAGAGGAAACTGCAAGTTGATGAAACCAGTTTTAAGTGGATTTCTGTTGCTGCCGAGCGCTCCAATCCACAGCCCAAGAGAGTCTCCCCGTGCTCAGATGTAGCCTGATCACAGTTGGAGGTGGTTCTTCTGTTGACCTCGCTCCCTTGGTGGTCTGAGGTTGTCACTCTCAGTGCTGAATTTGTGAGGGGGATGTGTGTGTGCATGCGTGAGTCTGTGTGTGTGTGCACACGCGCATGCTCAACCAGAAGAGACCCACAAGATGTCAGCTCTTCTGAGGCACCTAGAAGTTGATGCACTGGGTAGTGATACGTGCAGCCAGGTGAGAATGTAACAAACAACACTGTATAAAGAAAAGCAACTGCACTACCGAGTGGCTGGAGGGAGGGACGACTGTGTTGTCTGGAAGTGTTAGGCTCATTTTATATTTGTGTCAGAAGAAATGTTCAACTCTGGTGCAGACAACGGTGGTGGCCGGACCGGGCTTGATTCCCTGGGTTGAAATTGAGAGAAAGCTTATAGGATCAGACAGATACACTTTTCTCTGGTGGGTGCAGGATTTCTGCTGGGCAATGCACTATTAGTCAACACTTGTCCAAGAAGAGCCCATCCTTTCTGTTGTTAAATTCACAGTTCCTTATTCACTTGGACAAGATTTGGGGCCAGTTCACTGCTTCTCTGGCTGAGCCCAAGGTCACGGTTTGTAGCTCAAGTCTGAAATCTTGTTTAATCTTCCATCCAGAGTTTTGTCTCGTTCTAATGACTGCATCCTCTTGGCACATTTGTTGTACTCAAAACCGAATGGCAAACAATAGTCTCGTGTTAATAAAAGCCGCCACAGAGCTATGGGTGAACTCCCAGTCTGAAGTCTGATAGACTGCACAGACATCCAGAGACACTCTGGACCCCCAAGCACTCCCTGAGGGCCTGCCCTCTGCTCTGGAGCTCCTGGCCCCGATGTGCAGCTGCACAGGAACAGCAGCCATGTGAGTTGGCCATTTAGGATCTAAAGATGAGCATTTGAAACCCAGATTCACATTCCTTGTGTTTATTTGGATCATCATGATTTTGCATGTTGTAGCTACGTCTGGAGTAGTTCATATGCCCTCCCCACATGCCCCAGACGCTCTCAATCACAGCTTTGTAATTTAAAAAAAGCAAACTATACAGGAAGGAGAAGCATGTAAATATGTACCAATGCTTATGAAGCTGTTATTGTTTATATGTAAAAAGTACGTACGCAGCAAAGGGAAAATGGCTCAATGAATGTTTTAAATAACACTCCATGTACCAGCCTGCATTTGTATCCCTGCCATGTTCCTGAAAGCACACGTTTATTTGCAATGTCAATTCTTCAGATATCATTGTTTTAATTCATGTATCATAGGCACCTTCTTTTCATCTGATTACAAAATCCAGCATTTCAGGACCGAGCTTTTGCCAAAAGAAAAGGCAAATATGAACATTTGTCACCGATTCCTGCTGGTTCAGTGAGCATCTGAAGAATTCAAGTGCTTTAAAATAACGTGCATTTTCTAAACCCTAGAGTATACCTTTTATTCAAAACCAGCGGGCTGGATTGAATTTCCTGCAAGTATTTGTACTCTCTTACTGCTAGCTCTTCAAACAGGGGAGTCTGTGTGTAAATGCATCGCTTCCTGATGGAACAAGAGGAGAGACCCCAAAACGTTGCCAGAAATGTTTGCTGTGTAACCAAGATGTGGACATGTGTACAGCATAACAATTATCAACATAATCATACATGTGCACAATACCCAGAACAACACAAGTGTTTTCATTTGTCTAAACTAGAAATCCATGTAAATTGCAGCTTCCTTGTTGACACGGATGTGTGTGAACCTCGTTTCCACGGTCTGGAGTACCAGTTGCTGAAGGACTGTGGCTCTTCCTGAAAGTGCTCTGCCCTCGAAGAACCCATAGCCTTCAGGATCCCCTGCGTGCCTTACACGGCTGGTGAACACCAATGCTGGAAGTCAGGAAGGAGGGTGTGCTGGAAGTGGGTTTGAAGGCATGTGACATTGATCTCCATTTACCATCACCCCATCACTGAAACCTTAAGATGGATTGTGTGTTTTAACACAGTAATGGATTTACGTTTAGGCTCAGGAAAATCAAGTTGTAAATATTGTATCAAATCATATATTTGTTTACTGTATATTTTTAAAAGCTTTACTGTAAATTTATGCAAAAATGGATTAGGATTTGTTTTCTCACGGCACTATGCCAGGGCAGTATTTGTGTTCTCTGAAGCAATTCCTTAATAACCACATTCTAAACGTGATATTCTGTTCAGTGCTACACAGTATTCACAGGCCTAAAATAGGTTTGTGTGGTGATCAACTACAAAATTTTACACATATTTTTGTATTGTGATTCCTATGATATATACCAGAGAATTTTTACTCATTTGTAAATTATTGTACAGTTTTAATAAAAAAATTGTTTTAAATCTTAGAATATCAAAGTTCCCCTCCTCACAAGGTATTAAAGTTTGGACTTATCGGCTATGTTAGCCACTTCTGTGTTCCGTGTCCATTCTCTGAACTATGATGCCTCTTTCCACACCAGAAAGATATGGTGAACCTGGGCCTTCTGCGCGCTGGGGAGGGGGAGCCAGGCGTCTTACCTGCAGCCTCACCCTACATCATGGAAAATCTCCTAGAGGACAGGCTCTGAAATCAGAGGTACCTGGCAGCACCTGGCTGGGGTCAGCCACCAGGAAGGCCACCTCCTGTAGCTGTTTATCAAATGAGAATCGGAAGAGAAAATTCAGGTAAGTTAGAAGAGTGAAAGAATTTCCAGGAATGAGTAAGAACACTTGGCAACAGATTTCAGTGGAGGACGATCCCACACATGTGAGTAAAGGCCACTTTATTGATTTCTTTGGGGGAGTGGAAACCAGAGGTGGGAAGGGGGCTGGGAAAGTTGCTGATCTAGCTCTGTGGACGGTCGGACTTCTGCGGTGCTGGTACTAGAGGGTCCCCGCAGTGCCTCTCATTGTCTGAACTTAAGCTTTGAAATGCGGGCTGCACAAACAGAATGCGAAGGTTATCTTTTCCTTAAAAGTAAATCCCTGCAGGGCCTGACGGAGTGACAGCCTCGCCCTGTGACCCTGGGCGGACTGAGTCCCTCTGCCGTGTCTCACCCCAAAACCTTGAAGTCGGCTTTAAGGATGGTCAGGAGCAGCTCCCGTGGGCGCTTCCCTGTCCCCCTAGCCCGACCCTCGCGACTCGCCAAACGTTTCAGAGTCAGAGCCTCCTTGCCTGGCGTGGGATCTCCCTCGGGGACCTGAAATGTGGCTGGAGTTCCGATGGACTGTGGTTTCTTCAGTGCGTGCTCCCTGCCCGCCCGCCTTTCCTGCGGATTGGGCGGGAGGTCGGAACCCACACGTGCACCGAGGGCTGGCAGCGGCGCCTCGCGGGGACAGAACGCGCGCCCCGGGCCAGGCCGGCGCGTTCAGCACTCGCTGCGTGGACAGCGCCAGCTCCGCGCGGGCGCCAGGCCGGGCTGGGGGCGGGCTGGGGGACAGGGGCGGGGAGATTGCGAGGCGCCGGTCCGCCCCGTCCCCACGCGTCGCGCAGACCCGGCGCAGGAGGCTCCGGAACCGGCCGCCCCTCGCCCGCTCCCGCCATGGCTGCACGCCGGCCGCAGGAGCCCGCGGAGCCTCTGCCCGCGTGCCTGAGGACGCTGGGCGCAGGCAGCCCTCGGGCGCGACCCAAGCTCGGGGGCGTCTTCCGCTGCGTGGAGGACGCCTTTGAGAACAAGACGCTGCAGCTGGACGCGCTGGGCAGCGGTCGCCCGGACCCTCGGGCAGGAGAGCCCTACAGCGGGCCCCGCGGCGACCCGGAGGGACCCGGTGAGCCAGGCGGAGACAGCCCCGAGGCCGTGGCAAGTCTCCAAGAGCAGCCTGGAGCGGCCCTGGCCTGCGGCCCACAGCAGGTAGTGGCCGCAGAGCAGAGGTCGCGGGCGGTGGGGCCAGTGCGAGGGGGACGCGGGCCCGGACTCCCGGAGAAATGACACACCCACGCCGGAGACTGCCAGGGCGTGGGCCAGGGGCTCATCCCCTTCCCAAACCCCCTAGGTCCTCCGAGGGGCGCGAGGGCTCGCGGCGGGGCCTCCCTCTCCCTGACTGGCGAGTTGGGGCCTGGGACTTCTCTATCCGGCGCACCCCCACTCAGCTCTGCCCGGCGGTCTCGGCCTCTCCCGCCCTAGTTCTAGGTCCCTGGTCCGTCCAGGGCTCTGGGTAGCTGCCTCTCTGTGTGTCTCTCTCGGTCTCGCTGTCTCTTCCTATCTCTGTCTGTCCAACTTGTCCCCTCACTCCTGCCCCCAAGCTTCGCGCGGCCGACCATGGAGAAGCCTTGCGGGGAGGTGTCTCCACCGCTTGGTCCCAGGGCCCGTGCACGGCCCGGCACTCCGATCCCGGCGCGGGCCATCCGCGAAGGAGCCCGGCTTTGGCCAAAGACACCTTCTCAGACAGAGTCCGGCTCCCGGAGGGCCTGGGACTGGACTTGAGATTGGATTCAATCCCGGCGGCCTTGGGCTCTCGGGTCACAGGGAGCGGGCCCTGCTGGGCAGGGGCGAAGGCGGGGCCTGGCAGGACATCGTCGGACCTCTCCCACCCTCTTTCCCGAGGTGCAAACTCCGCACACACACTGGCCAGGACCTGTCGCAACCCTCGCCCCCTCCCCACCCAGCACGCGTCCGCCGGTCCGCGCGGGACCCGGGGCGCAAGGATCTCGTCCTGTGGCCGCCGCGGGTGTCTGGGGCCGGGGAGTTGGGGGTTAGTATCCAGCGCGGCCGGGACAGGGCTCGAATGCAAAGGAGCAGCTGCGGGCCGGGGGCGGGGCCTGGCCGGGCCGGGGCGGGGCCGGGACGGGGGCGGGGCCGGGAACCGGAGCTGCGCGGCCCGGCGCGCTCGCACTTGGACGCCTGGCGCCCCCACGTACCCGCCCGGGCTCCGCGCTTCCTCGCCCAAGACCTCCAGGCCGCGTGGGCCGACCGAGGCGGCGGCGGCGGCGCGGCCGGAGGAGCAGGATGTCTTTCCAGGGCAAGAAGAGCATCCCCCGGATGACGGTGAGCCCAGCTCCAGGCCCCGCTCCGCCCCGCGCCCCCCGCCCGGGGCGGGGCCTGGCCTCCGGGCCCCGGCGTGGACCCTCTTGGTCCCTGCCCTCCGGATCCAGTCCCCGCGCGTGCCTCTGTCCCGGCGCTGGTCCTTCTCGCCCGGCTTCTTCCTGCGCCGCCGAGGTCCTCGCTAGCGCCGCGCCGGACCACCCTACGGAGCCGGGCGCACAGGCCCGGGCCCTGCCGGCCTCCCCGGGACCTCCTCTGCGCCCAGGGAGGGCTCGGGGCCGGGGGAGGCCTGCTCCCCAGAGCGCAGAAGTGCCCCCTTCCCCGCCGTGGCCGGGGTCTTGGAGCTCTGCCTCGGGCTCGGCGGGTGGACGCGGCCCTTTGTTGACACCGCCGGCCCGGCCTTGGGGCCGGAGCTGCTGTTCGCCGCGCGGCCGCCCGATCCCCGGACCGCGCCGCCGCCGCGTCCGGAGTTCTTTGTCCGAGACAAAGCGACTGAGCCCCGGCCGCTGGGACCGGAGCCCCCGGCGGCCCGAACCCCTCCACGGGGCCGGAGTTCGGAGACCCCGGGGGAGGCGAGCGCTCACTAGTCGCCGCTGACCCAGGGATCCCCGCGGTCTAGAGGAGACCCTCCGGCACCCACACGCGCCGGTGCGGGAGGTCCGATGTCCACCCCGCGCTGCCAGGAAACAAAGCCGCCCCCTCCAGGCGGCCGGGAGCCCGGAGGAGGGAGGGCGGGCGGGAGGGAGGCGCCCGGGCGCCAGCTGGACGGTGGCGGGGGAGCCCGCGGGTCTCAGACCCAACTCTGGGCTTGGCCTCAGCTGGAGGGCCGCGGGGTTCGTGGCTTTTCTGGTTCACTTCCTGAGATACTCGAGCCGCTTCTTGAGGATCATGTGTCAAGACTGGCCCAGGGTCCTGTCTGATGTAGGAAGCCGGCTAGTGGCTGGCACGCAGGTGAGGGTGAGGCTGAGGGTGGGAATGATCCCACCCCGGGTGGGTCAGACGAAAGGCAGCTGGTTTAGGAGAGCTTCCACCCTCATCCTGGTGAGCATCGCACCCCGGCCCTGTTACGTTTTCCTCTTGTTTCCAAATCCAGGAAGGTGCCCAGGGTCTGAGTCTGGGTGCCTGAAAACTGGGAGGTGAGAGCAGGGGACCCAGACCACCAGTCTCCTCCTAACTCTGTGTGTGTGGGTGTGGGGGTGGGGTGAACTGGGATGCAGACCACCAGTCTCCTCCAACCTGCAGGGGGGTGGTGTGAGAGCAGGGGACCCAGATCACCAGTCTTCTCCTGACTGGGGGCCGGGGGAGGAGTAGTGAGAGCCGGGGACCCAGACCACCAGTCTCCTCCTACCTCTGTGTGTGTGTGGGTGGGTGGTGGGGGTGAGCTGGGGATGCAGACCACCAGTGTCTTCCTGCCAGAAGCCTTCCTCTTCCCGGCTGGGTTCTCCTTGGGCCTGTTTGAGAGTGAGTTGGTCCACTGGGAGGGTGTGGGGAGTGTTGAAGCAGGGACGCTGCAGGGAAGGCAGGTGGGGTCTCAACACTGGCCGCAGAAGCTGGGCAAAGTGGGTAATTATGATGTGACTGGTCAGGGCTGGGTCTAGGGCCCAGGGGGACTGGGCAGTGAGCCTCTGCCAGACTCAGTGGGGCGAGGCCCAGGCCGCTGGGAACAGGCCGTATTGTAGACCGGGAGCCAGCAAACTTCCCTAATGGGCCAGGTATTTTCAGCTTTGTGGGCCGTACTCTTTCTGTCGCTACTCAGCCCAGCCAGGAGAGCAGTCATAGACAATACGGAAATGAACGGGTGTGGCTGTGTTCCAGTAAAACTTTAGCTGTGGACATTGAAATGTGAATTTCATGTAATTTTTATGAGTTGTGAAATGTTCTTCTTTTGATGTTTTTCACCCAACACAAAATGTGAAACCCCTCTTAGCCCCAGGCTGGGTAAGGATAGTCTGTGGCATAGTTTGCCAGTCCTTCTGTAGCCCATGGGGTGGTGGTTTTACCTTTAATCGATAGAATCCTGAGAATTCATTCCACACAGTTAGATGTCCGGAAGAACAGAGAATAATGTAATAAAGTGATGAATTATTTATCATCCTGGTGGCCTCTTAGAGTTCCTGCTAATTGCACTGCACAGTTTGATTCTCTCAGCATCAGGCTGATGGTGTGTAAGGAGCCAGAAACCCGGGCTGGAGTCCTGGCCTGGCCTCTGGGTGGGCACCCAGAAGCCCCCGGCAGGCACCTGACGTCCCTGTGAAATGCAGCTGTCATTCCTGCCTGGGCACGTCGTAGGGAGTGTGGAGGCTCGAACAAGATGATGGAGGAAGGTGCTGTAAAGCTGTGTTCCTGTCGACGTCATCGAACTCTGCCTTTCTGCTCCTTTCTCGTGTTTCTCTCCATTATTCTCCACCGAAATCAGACCATCACCCCTGACAGCCGTGCAGAGTTCCATCACGTGACACCCACGTTCTGCCTAACTCCTCTCTTGCCGGCCCATTTGGTGGGATTCTTAGAAGTGGCTTGGTGGCTGCCGAGCATTGGCTCAACCCCACCTGGTGCCACAGCTCCGTGCTGTGGGGGTGGCCCACAAAGAGCTGGCCTTGCTCCCCAACACTTTGTTCACCCACTCGGGGTCCTCTAGGCAGCACCAGAACCTGTGGTCACCCCCATGTCGTCCTGGCCCTTCACCCCCATGGCCCCTCCATCAACAGCTCCTGCCCACCCAACTCCCAGCCTCACTGGAGTTCGTTTCTCATCGGGCCCCATAATCCCTCTCCAGGGCTCCTCATCTCACCTGGTCAGCCTCAGAAACCACCCAAGTGAGGGGCAGGCCCCGTGGCGCAGCAGTTAAGTGCGCGCACTCCACTGCTGGTGGCCCGGGTTCGGATCCTGGGCGCGCACCGACGCACCGCTTGTCAGGCCATGCTGTGGCGGCATCCCATATAAAGTGGAGGAAGATGGGCACGGATATTAGCTCAGGGCCAGTCTTCCTCAGCAAAAAGTGGAGGATTGGCATGGATGTTAGATCAGGGCTGATCTTCCTCACAAAAAAAAAAAAAAACAACAAAGAAACCACCCAAGCGATGGCCCCGTTTCCATCGTTGAACGCCACAGTCTGCCTGCTACACAGACCCGATGTGATCTCTGAAACACCCATCAGACCATGCTTAAACCCCTGATTAGGGCCCCCCGTGGTGGCCCACTGGCTCCCCAAGCCCAGCACACTTCACACCACCCCCACTCCTCCCACCCCCAGCTCTGGGCCTCTCACCCCGCCCCTCAGAAGGTTCTAGCCACAGTTTCCTCTCCTGTCCTAAATCAGCTCAAGCTCTTTCTTGCCTCAGGGGCTTTGCATGGGCTGCTCCCCCCCCCACCCCCGGGCTGGAATGCTGCCCCTGGCTGCATCACCTCCCGCATCAGCCCCTCAGACAGGCCCTTCTCCGTCCCTGAAGTAACCACACCTCCTTCCCCACCACCCCCATCATGTCACCCTCTGCGTGGTCTTGCGATTGTCACATTCTGTGAAGGCCTTGTCTGTGATGTCTCGTCATTGTCCATCTCCCTCCAGTGGGATGCAGCCTCCCCAGGGGTAGGGACCTGCCTGCTGGGGCTGCTCTGCCCTCCGCCTCCCGGCACCATCACAGGCCGCGATTCTGCTGTGAAACGAAGCCCAGCTGTCAGCCGGGAGCCGCCTCAGAGTGGATGGAGGAGGAGGGGTGGACCTCTAGGCCAGGGGGACACTGCAAGGCTTTGTGCACCTCTTCCCTCAGCCTGGCCTTTATAAGTTCGGTGATAAATGTGAAGCTGTAAATATAATCCGCTTCACTGGCCCTGATGCACTTTCACTAACGTCGGCCCTGCCTTGACACAGTGAGGAGCTGGTTCCTGTTCATCCCTGTGCCTTTGGCGAGGCCAGGCTGCCTGACCAGAGGTGTGGACCTGTGCGGGGGCCTGGGGAGCTGCCTCTGCACCACCGCTGCCCCATTCTTGGGGGATGGCACACAGTGCGGACTTTGGTGTTTGTTTTTATGTATACAAATTGTGCCCAAATATTTCAATTTTAATTCCAGAATAAGAATTCATACTAAAGGTGTTGTTGGGTAACTCAGTTTGGAGAAAAAGTATCCACTTTTTGTTTGTTTGTTTCCGACAGAGCGACCGCCTTCTGGTCAGAGGAGGGAAGATCGTGAATGATGACCAGTCCTTTTACGCTGATTTGTATGTAGAAGACGGTTTGATCAAGTAAGTTTCTGCCTCGAATTCCTCGTATATCATACATGTACACATGATCACACATTATCCAGAAGCTTACTTTTGGGTGAAATCCGTGTAAATGTCTGTTTCCAGAACCTTGTTCCCTGGAAACGGCTCTAGCCCAAGACTTCATGATAACAGAATCTCATGTCTTAGTCGTAACGTCTGGAAAAGTGGGACCATGGCCTCTGCCTGTCTTTGTGTTATCACAGCTTTAGGACGAAGCAGGGCTCACAGTAGGTGCTTAATAAATGCTTCCTGACCACACCTATCAGCTTCTCTGCTTGTATCTGTCGAGCAGCTCGAGCCACTAGTCAGCAAAGCTGCCAGGGGACCCCACAAGGGCAGTGCCCTGTGCACAGGCTGGCTCCTCCATGGTGACCCTCTGGAACCACTGAGTGGGGTGTCCTGCTCTCTGGCAGTCCAAGGCCCAGTCCAGTTAAGTCCTGGCCGTACTGTCCTTTTCCTCAAGGACAAGAGCCCAAACACACGCTTCCAGCTCCACCGTGTTGCCAAGGAACCCCTTCAGGTTCTGATCCGGGCTCTTTATAACCAGTGAAATCTCCCTTTGTGGCTTTCAGACAAATTGGAGAAAACCTCATCATCCCTGGGGGCGTCAAAACGATTGACGCCCATGGCCTGCTGGTCCTGCCAGGAGGGGTCGATGTACACACCAGGCTGCAGATGCCCATCCTGGGCATGACCCCAGCTGACGACTTCTGCCAGGGGACCAAGGCCGCCCTAGCAGGAGGGACCACCATGATACGTGAGTGTCTGCCGGTGGGGAGCGCCCGTCCCGTGCCTTGGGCCTCTGGCCACGTTGTGTGTTGCAGTTTTCCTCAGTCCTTTTTCCCTCGATTATAGCTCAGTCTAAGAAACCCCAGAGTGTCCTCTGTTACCCTTGTTTCTCATTCCGAGTCGCTGTGCCTTGGCCAGGGGGAATTTTCTCAGATTCCATCTAGAACAAATGGACGTGTGCCTAGTACTTTGTTATTTCCTGGGCAGCCAGCAGCTGGCCAAGGATGGGGTTTGGAAAACCCAGATGCCCTGGGCAAGCGGAGGGGCTGTGTTGCCTGAAGTGTCAGACACGTTTGCGCCTGAACCTCACATCTACGAAGCTTGGTTCGCAGAAAGTTCCTGCCCCTGTCAACAAGAGTTAAAGACAGGCTGTGTTTTTAGAAAAAGGATGACAAAAATACTTACTACTATCCTATCAATAGCCACCAGAATTACCATTTCTTTCATGCTGGCTCTGTGCCGTCCCAACATGCTTCAGCTCCCGTGCTGTCCCCATAAAACCCCCCAAGCTCAGCAGAGAAGCCCGTTCAACAGCTTGTGAGGTGAATTCTCTTGCCCACTGTGCACTTGCTTGTGGTCAGCTCAGGAGCCCAGGATGGGACCTCTGGGCTCAGCCTTGCATGCCCCCAGCTCAGCAGTGCTGAGTGCAGATGTCTCCGCTGTGGTGGAGACCTGGTCTCACAAACCCAGCTGAGCCTGGCTCCCCCACGTTATCACTACGTGACTTCGGGTAACTCGGCTAACTTCGGGAAGCCCCACTTTCCTAGTCTGTAGGACGATGCACAGGAAGACCCTCCTCAGAAGGTCGTGAGGACTGGGTGGGTGCATGTACGTTGCTCTGTTGTGCCTGGCACTGTGAGTGCTGCCACTGCTGCCAGCAGGAAGGGCCACACTGAGGACTCTGGGCCACTTCACAAGTGACGTTTAGCCATTGCCAAAACCATGGCTTGGTTTGGTTTACTCAACCACACAGTGAAAAAAAAGCAACGATGATCCGTCTTTTAGTTTGACTAAGGAGACTGGTCATTCCAGGCCATTGCTCATACTTGTCACTGGTGGCACAGGCTGGCCAGGACATCTTCCTGGTTGATATCACCTGCTCGTGCCCGTGCTGAGGCATCAGACAAGCTGTGAGGTGTCACCGTGAGAACAGAGAGATGCTGCAGGCATGGGGGTGGCCTCTGTCAAGCTGTCTGTCTTCCTCAGCCTGCCAACCCTGAGCTGGAGCTGTGAACAGCCCACAGGGCAGGGTGGACATGCACTCCCACGGGGTCCTGGGTTCACGATCTGAGCTAGGGGAAGTGCAGGGCCCTGAGTGAGAGGTGCTGGAGGAAGGCACAGCATTTGTCAGTAACCCTGGGATGGCTGCCCCTTCCTGTTGGCCACCCCCACTCCGAGCTCTTTCCTTGCACCCAGGAGAGGCTGTGAGCAGTGCTCAGACCTTGGACATGAGGTGAAGGGCGGGGGGCTGTGTGACAGTGCAGTGGCCACGTGCACTCGCCGTTTCCCCTGGGGATGGGGTGGCACTGTCCAAGGTGTGCAGTCAGTGAGGCACAGGAAACCAGCTCTGTGCCGCTGGGCAGGCTTGCTGGGGCCAGCACCACAGACAGCGGCGCCCTCCCCCTCCTGCCTCCACCCGCCCTCCAGGTGCGCCTCACTCAGGCAGAGACCTGTGTTGGAGGTTAAGGCCCTAAACTGCCACTCGTGCTCCTGGGGATGTGATATGTCCATCGGAGAGTGGGGCGGCTTGAACTCGGACTTTCCCTCTCTGCTCAGACAGAGGCTGGGGGATGTGGGGCAGACGATGCCTCTTTGCACAGAACCAGTGGGCAGGTTCACAGCCCCCATGTAAGGTGCCCGTGGCCTCTCCTCTGCTTTTCTCAAACGCGCTTCCTCATCTCTTGGGAACATGAAGCCAGTCTCCCTTGGAGGCCGCGGTGGTTCCCAGTGACCGGGGTTAGGGGCTCCGCTGACCACGCTGCCCCCCACAGTGGACCATGTGTGCCCCGACACGGGCATGAGCCTGCTGGCAGCCTATGAGCAGTGGCGGGAGCGAGCGGACAGCGGGGCCTGCTGCGACTACTCCCTGCACGTGGACGTCCCCCGCTGGCACGAGAGCATCGGGGAGGAGCTGGAGGCCCTGGTCAAGGACAAGGGTGAGCAGCGGCTCCTGCAGCTGGCTGAGGGGCGGCTGCAGGCGTGGGCGGGCGTGGGACCCCGGGCTTCCCCGGCCTCGGGAGGGCAGGGCGCCCACTCCAGCCCCTGGCCATGCCGACCGTGCATCCATCTGACCCCGGAGCAGGTGGCCGGGAACGGGGGGACTTTGGACAGGAGTCTTTATGAAGAAGGTCTGCTCTGCTTGCAAAGGGTCTAGCCTGAGAGGCCGTCTGCCTCCCACGTCTGAGGGACATGTCCCGTGACTGTCCCCCTCACAGAAGGATGTGGGGGTCGCGGCTGCCGTCTCGGCCCCTTGTTTCCTGGCCCTGGGTGAAGGAGAAGTGCTGTGCGTTTTCCTAGCATCATAAGGTCCTTCTAGAAGGAGAATGCTTTAAAACCCACTGTCCTCTATTGCTGCCTGAGCTGAAACAGGCCAGGCTATAAACAAGGCTTAATTTTTTTTCATCAAAAGTCATCAAAAGAAGCTAAAGCCACCCTGAAGTTCCCTAGTGGATTTGACAGAGTTAGATGCACGTGGTAACTGCTCTCTGGTAATCCAGCTTCGAGTGTGGTCCCTGGTTTACGGCCTGGAGTGGGAGGTCGGGGTCAGAGCCTGTGTGGGGCCGACGGGCCAGGATGCCCGACTTGCTGGCTGCAGGCCCTGGCAGGGCCGTGGAGCACAGGGTTCCTGCACCCCCAGGAGATGCCCATCTCTCTGCAGACCTGAAGGAGGAAGGGAGGCTTTGTGGAGGCTATTTCCCAAAGAGTGGCGGTCCTCACACCGGTGGCCTCTGGTACTCAGGACCCCCTCCCCTGCTGGGGGGCTGGCAGGGTGGGCTCTTGGCCTCTGCACCTCACTCCAGGCAGCAGCTCTGCCCTCCTGGTTGTTCTGTAATTGGACTTGGGAGGCCTGCAGCCTTGGGCTCAGAGCAGAGGTAGAAAGCAGGCACTTGCAGCCACCACTCACCCTCCAGGCAGCGCTCGGCGGGGGTCTGCTCCCAGCAGAGCGAGGAACGGGTCCTTGGCCTTGGTCCACTGGGCAGCATCCAGCGCCGGGCCTGCGTGCTGACCAGCAGCCTCCCTCAGAGGCCCCAGGACAGGTCTTCACCTGTGGTGGCTCCTGGGGCATGCGTGACTCAGTTTCTCCGAGGTGTGCCTTAGTGCCTCACATTGGCACTTCCCACCCAGTGAGATGCCATGGAGGAGGGAGGGGCCTCCGGCCCGAGGGTTTGGGTGGTGGGAGGGTTGGGATGCAGCCTCAGGACCAGGTGGGCTCCCAATCTGGTCCTGAGTCCTGGGGGATGTGGGAAGGTGCTGGCTGCCCACGAAACAGGAGAGCTCGACCCTCCTCCTCTTGGGCCCTGACACATGGGCAGCCCACCCTGTTCCTTCTGCTTTTCCTGAGAGCCCAGCCTGGCTGAGGACCCTGAAATCTGCCTCCCCTCACAGCAGGTCCCCTGAGCACGTGCTGTGAGCCAGGGCCTGGAGGGCGTGACTCTGAGGCCCCCGCAGGCAGGTGACGGGCTAGATGGCCAAAGTGAGGGCCACCCAGCACACCATGGCCCAGGCCACCTTCCTGTAGAGACCAGGGAGGACTCAGGCAGTGAGCCCGAAGCGCACGGCCCCCTCCTGTCCACTGGTGGTGGTGGGGCTAGTGAGGGGACGTGTGAGGGGCAGGGGGATGTGAGGGATTAGTGAGGGGGATGTGCGGAGAATTTGTGATGGGTTGTGAGGGGTTCTCACCTGCGTTTGCCACTGGGGAACAATTGGTTCCTGACCTCGGAGAGTGAGGTGCAGGCAAGGAGGGGCCTGGGGCCGACCCCATCCCCCATTCCCAGCTTGTCAGGGAGTGTTTGTGGGGGCTGATGCCCGAGGGCCGCTGTGCCAGCTGGCGAGGCACCCATGGAAGAGGGCTGCCCTTGCCCTGGCCCCTCTGGAGATCGGGGAGCAGGGACGGCTCCTAGTGTCTGACTGGTGACGGCCGAACGTCTGATCCCTCGCCTCTCCTGCAGGCGTGAACTCCTTCCTGGTCTTCATGGCGTACAAGGACAGGTGCCAGTGCACCGATGGCCAGGTAAGAGCAGGTGCCGAGATGGGGAACAAGCAGGAGTCCCTTAGGCTGCCGTTGGGAGAGACGCAGCCCCACACGGCCCCGTGCGCCTCTCTTCCCAGATGTACGAGATCTTCAGCATCATCCGGGACCTGGGAGCCGTGGCCCAAGTGCACGCAGAGAACGGGGACATCGTGGAGGAGGTGCGGCCGGGGCGGGGGCGCAAGGGGGACCCCAAGACGCTCAGATGTGAGCATTTAATCCCACAAACCCGAGGGAGGGAATATTGAACGTATTCCGGTAAATAGTTTGCCCTGAGTCAAAGGTCAAGCAAGCAGGGAGTTAGGGGAGCCTGGGGGGCTTTTGGCCATAACACAGATTTTTTTGTGATCATCACACTTCTTATTAAAAATTCCCCAAAACCAAAATGTTGCTTCATGGGGACCTGAAATGGGGGTTTCCCAGTGCTTCCTCCCAGGGACTGCCGCCCCTCTGGGAGCTGGACCCTTGTGTTCCTCCGACCAGTGACTGCACGTGTGGGATTAGTGGCCTTCCTTGGGTCACATCCCAGCGGCCCTGGGGAGGACCTGCCCACCTGCCCCACGCAGTCCTCTCACCCAGGGCGGTGGGGTGGGGCGCACGGGGCAGTGGGCCCCGCAGTGGAGTTTCTCCTCCTTGCTCCTCTGTTTTCCTCTGGGCTCACGGGAGAGGTCGGGGGTCGGGACTCTCCTCGGGGAGCGGGGCCTCACAGGAGAGGTCGGGGGTCGGGCCTCTCCTCGGGGAGTGGGGCCTCACGGGAGAGGTCGGGGGTCGGGACTATCCTCGGGGAGCGGGGCCTCTCCTCGGCGAGCGGGGCCTCACAAGAGAGGTCGGGGGTCGGGACTCTCCTTGGGGAGCGGGGCCTCACGGGAGAGGTCGGGGGTCGGGACTCTCTTGGGGAGCCGGACCTCATGTGAGAGGCCGGCGGCCGGGACTCATCTTGGGGAGTGGGGTCTCCTGGGCCGTGGACCTCATGCCCAGGCCGAGGCTCCCTAGGGCTCTCGCTGCCCCTGGGCTGGAACGTGGTGTCCTGTCGGTTTATTAGGAGCAGAAGCGCTTGCTGGAGCTCGGCATCACTGGCCCCGAGGGCCACGTGCTCAGCCACCCTGAGGAGGTAGGATTGTGCCTGCTGAGCACGTATCCCAGACTACTGCCTTCCCCTGGGGCTGGGCCCTGCTTCACAGCCCCAGCAGCGCTGTGACTACGCTGTCCTCATCTGGGATGCCTGAATCAACGGGCCCTCCCCGTGGCAGGCTATGTCCCCCCATGACCATTGGTCATCCCAAGGCCTTTACCCAGGGCAGAGAAGGCAGTGTGGTCAGGCCCTGGGGACTGCATGGATTAGCCCAGATCCTGGGCACCAAGCCCCAGACCAGGGTCCTCACCCACCCAGGGGTGCCTCCCCCAGGCCCAGGATCCATGGGTGATCCATGGGCATCCCGTTGCCACACTGGTCATGAGGCCCCAGGGCCCTCGTGTGGCCTAAGCACCCTGTCCTCAGGTGGAGGCCGAGGCCGTGTACCGTGCCGTCACCATCGCCAAGCAGGCTAACTGCCCCCTGTACGTCACCAAGGTGATGAGCAAAGGCGCGGCCGATGTGGTTGCCCAAGCCAAGCGCAGAGGTGAGTGTGGCGCCCTGGACCCCACACGCTGGGGAGGGTCTCTGTGGGGGTCAGGGGTCACGTTCTCAGCTGCCCCGGGGCTCGGCTGGCTGCACTGAGGCTCAGAACAGGCAGGCCCAACAGAGAAGAAGCCTGCCGCCCCGCCTGGCCTCTTCGTGGTGGGGACTTCATTCCGGGGACACGAGGGATGCGGCCTGTGGGAGACGCAGGTGCCCACTCCCTGTGCAGGGCGGTGGGGTGGGGGTGACAGAGTCTCCCATCCTGACGGAGCAGCAGCTGTTCACCAGGGGCCTTGAAGCAGACCGTGGGGCCTGTTGGCCCTGTTTCCACAGGAATGAGTGAGAACTGTGTGTGTGCGTGTGCATGTGCGTGCGTGAGATCCTGATTCCATGTGCACCGGACCCTTGCCCAACTGACCCCACCGGGAGCCCACATGACTATCGCTGGGTGCCCTCTGCCCACAGGACGCCCACGCGGCTGAGGGAGGCGGCGGGTAAAGAAGATCCCAGGGTCGGCGCACAGGGCGAGGCCGGGCGGGGCTGGCAGTGAGTTGATGGTATCTCACTCCAGCGTGTGGTCCAGCTGGGGTGTCTGCAGGCCTGACCCTCAGCAGGGAGTTCTGAGGGAGTGGGTCTGGAGACGATGCCCCTGAGGAGCCCCAGGCCGGCTGTGCCTGCCGGGGATCAGGTGCCCTGAAAGTGGGGGACAAGCTGTCCAGGGTCGGGAAATTGGGGGACAGACGAGGGGTGTCAGCAGCGCAGTGCCGAGGCCTCCGCCCTGCTCGGGTCCCGGGGGCACGCAGGCTGGCGGGGGCGCCTCTCACGGGCCTTGCTGCAGGCGTGGTCGTGTTCGGGGAGCCCATCACCGCCAGCCTGGGCACCGACGGCTCGCACTACTGGAGCAAGAACTGGGCAAAGGCGGCAGCCTTCGTCACCTCGCCCCCCATCAACCCCGATCCCACCACTGCAGACCACCTCACCTCCCTGCTGTCCAGGTAAGGAGCTGCTCTGTGCAGCCCCAGGGCAGCCTGCAGGCTCCACGCCCCACTGTGACCTCGGCCTGCTGGCCACTCCAGGCCTCTCCTGCACAAACCCTGGGCCCTTGTGTCCCCCACACCGAGGCATAGGGTCTGCCCAGCACTGCCCTAGATGACCTCTCACCCCTATGGGCCGTGTTGGCCGGGGTAGGGGGCGAAGCCGACCAGGCGTTTGCTGGCTCAGGAAGGCCAGGCCCCTCTGGGCTCCTCTGACTCCGGCTTGTTCTCAGCGGGGACCTCCAGGTGACTGGCAGTGCCCACTGCACCTTCACCACTGCCCAGAAGGCCGTGGGCAAAGACAACTTCACTCTCATCCCCGAGGGCACCAACGGCGTGGAGGAGCGCATGTCCGTGGTCTGGGAGAAGTGCGTGGTGAGTACAGAAGGAGGGTACGCGGTGCACCCACCAGGAGCGGGGCTGCCAGCGGATTCTGACGGTTCGTCAGAAAGGGAAGCCCCCGCGTGGAATAGAGGTCGGAGGGTGTGGCCGTGGGGCCTTGTCCCCCCACAGCCCTGCCATGCAGGGCTCCTCACACTTTCCATCCTTGTCACCGGAGGAGATCCCACAGCTGCTGTGCAGCCCTGACTCTAATGTTGCGTGGAGAACGCATCTGTGCACACGGCTGAGGGGGAGTGAGGTCCCCATCCCCAAGGGGATTACACTCTGCATGGTAGTGATCTCCCCACAATGCCAGAGATTTCCTCAGACTTCCATCTCACTTGGAAAGCACTGCCCGGTGTCCTCTGCCCCCCACGCACCCCCAACCCTGGCCCTGAGCTCTTCCCTGGACCAAGGCCCTGCCTCCCCAGGCCTCCTGGTCCCCCCAAAGAGACTTGTCACGTCCTCCAGGGGACACAGACGTTGTTGCGGGAGCCTCACCATTTGTTTACCCACAACGTGAGCACAGAGACCAGGCTTCGTGCACAGGAAGGGTCAGACCAGCAGCGTGACTGCGATGGACCCGCCGATTCGCACGCGGCAGCACCCTCTGCCCCAGGAGTGCGGTGCTGACACTAATCGCTGCCGGGGGTCAGGGGCCACCGTCCTTGGAAGCCCCGAGACCAGCCCCCTACATGTCCAGGAAAGGCACTCCCTCCCCCTCAGCTCTGCCTGCTTGCTTCTCAGGTGTCAGGGAAAATGGACGAGAATGAGTTCGTTGCTGTGACCAGTACAAATGCAGCCAAGATCTTCAATTTTTACCCAAGGAAGGGGCGAGTGGCTGTGGGCTCCGATGCTGACCTGGTTGTATGGAACCCCAGGGCCACGAAAATCATCTCTGCCAAGAGCCACAACCTGGTAAGAGAAGCCTGGTCCCTGAGTCAGGGCCAGGGGCAGGGGCAGGGGGCCCGGGAGCCCCTCGCGGCCTTCCCAGGAGCATCCCAGGGATGGCGCTCACAGGCAGAAGCAGCAGCTTCACTCATCCCAGTGACGGCCGTCCTAGGGACGAGGAGCCCGCGGCAGGGCCCCCTCACAGAGAGTTAACCCCACTGCAGGCTCGCGCACGTACCCTCTATCCTTCTCAAAACCCATGATTCAGGACTGGGCGAGGTTGGCTGGGGCCGGTTCGCTCTGAATTCCGGCCCCGCTGAGTTGACTGCGTCTGGTCCGAGGTCCCGGAACAGGCTCGCAGGCCTCCGAGGACGCTGGGCGGCCCGCAGGGTGTTTTGAGGGCTGGGAGGGCACAGTGCCGCGGTGCTGGATGCTCACCCTGTCCCCCCAGAACGTGGAGTACAACATTTTCGAGGGCGTGGAGTGCCGCGGAGTGCCCGTGGTGGTCGTCAGTCAGGGCAGGGTCGTGCTGGAGAACGGGAACTTGTTCGTCACCCCGGGGGCCGGCCGCTTCATCCCACGGAAGACGTTCCCTGACTTCGTCTACAAGAGGATAAAGGCGCGCAGCAGGGTAAGGCCCGAGCCGGGCGGGGCAGAGTGCAAAGCCTTCTGTGCATCCGAGAGGTTTCTCCTCCTGGTCAGTGCTGCCCGTCCAGCCCTGGCAGTCAGGAAAGCAGAGCGGGTCCCTCACTCACCCAGGGCCTCCACTGGGCCTAAGCAGTGGGGGCAGGGCGGGGCAGAACTCAGACCCAGGCCTCGGGACTCGACACCCCCACTCGCTTGCCCTGGACCTGTGCCTCCGCCCCACTGTGACCCCTCCCATCCCCCCCAGTCTGGGCTCGCCCACCAGCCATAGTCCAAACCACAAGTCCCGAGGGAGGTGGCAGCTGGAAACACAAGCACGTCTGAAGGCTTTGCTTCAATCCACAGACCGTTGGTCCATCGTGGTGGCTACTGGGAAATGCCTCTGACTTTGGGGCCCTTTCCAGGGAGGACAGGACCCAGGCCCTCCATCTCAGGGCTTCCTCGGGGACGGAGTGGGGGCTGTGCTGGGGCCCCAGGCCGATGGCTACTGAGGAGGCAGAAACTGTTGGAGCCAGTTTTTGATTCCAAAAAGAGGCCTCCTCTGCAGAGCAGCCCTCGTGTGAGAAATGCTGCTCCAGCTCAGGGCATCGCCACCCAGCCTCAGGGAAGGAAGTGGTGTGTGCACGCCTGTATGTGCACCCATGTGTAGGTGGGAGGGGAGGCAAGTGTAGGTCCGAGCACGAGGGATGAGCGTCCTCATTGGCGGGGAGCCCTGGAGTTCCTGAGCCCAGCAGGCAGAGCAGGTGGGCTCTCAGCAGGACCTCCTGCCCTCCAGCTTCAGGGCCGGCTCAGCCCCTCTCACGCCCACCCCCTCGCCCCGCAGCTGGCAGAGATCCACGGCGTGCCCCGAGGCCTCTATGACGGGCCAGTCCACGAGGTGATGGTGCCCACGAAGCCAGGGGGCGGTGCCCAGGCCCGCGTGTCCTGCCCAGGGAAGATCTCAGTCCCCCCCGTGCGCAACCTGCACCAGTCGGGGTTCAGCCTGTCTGGTGAGTGGAGCCTGGGGTGGGTTGGGGCCTCCGCTGGAGCATCCTGAGGGGCAGGAAGCCCCTGGAGCCGCAGGGCCTCAGGTACCAGGGCCCAGCCTGTGCCTGGGTGGGTGAGCTTGGGAAAGCTGCAGGCCCCGCCCACATCTGGCCATAGACAGCGGGCAGCCACCAGGGTAGGGCCCCTGCCCTGCATGGGGCCCAGGGGTGTGGGGCCCAGCCAGGGAAGATCCTTACTGCCCCAGCATCTGCCCCAGCGTCTGCCCCAGGTGGCTGTGATGACCCCCTCTTGAATCAACTACGCTGAGGAGGGGGCTGTCACTTTGAGCCAGGGCTGAGCAGGAGATGCCCAGCCTCTGGGGGACCCAGTACCATGTGGGAATCCAGCCCCGCCAGCCCAGAACCATGTGTGAGGAGGGGCCTGTGGGCACTTGGGGACATGCGGGGATGCCTCAGAGGATTCAGGTGGCCCCAGTGTGCAGGCCACGAGAGTCGGGCCTCTGGTCAGGGCTTGGCTAGTGCTTCCAGCACAATGTGGGACTGAGATTATTCCAGAAGCACTGAGCCCCAGGGTCTCCCTGAAGACCAGAGCAGACCCTCCCTCTCTATTTCCAGCCCTCGGGTGGGGCCAGCTCACCCCCTGATGTCCTGTCTCATCCTCTCCCTCGGGGGGTGATGGAGGTCACCTCCTGGGGACGTAGGGCCACTTTGAAACCCAGCATCATCTTGAAAGCCAGGGGCAGCCTTCTCCCATCACGGGGGCTCATGTGCAGGGTGAGCCCGAGACGCACAGGACGACAAGGCAGGTCTGGCCTAGCCTGTGCTCCTCGGGACGGGCTTCCTGGAGGGTCAGCGCTGACCTCCAGCCCCCGGCTGAACACACGCTGGCCTCACTTTCCCATGCATCCGAGGCCTCAGTGGTGGGAACACCTGCCCGATCGCCTGGTCTACCCACCACAGCCACCTGGGGAGCATAAGGGACCTGCGGGGGAGCGGGGATGGGGGGGGCTCTGCAGTCCTGGCCTTATGGGAGTGGCCAGCAGTGTCTGCATCCACTTCCCACCCACCACTTTCCACTGTCCTTCCCGCGCCCACGTCCCGCCTTTCTGCAGGATCTCAGGCCGATGACCACATTGCCAGACGCACGGCTCAGAAGATCATGGCGCCCCCTGGTGGCCGCTCCAACATCACCTCACTGTCCTAGAGGACCCGGCTGGGTGCCAGCAAGTTGGTGCCGTCCCACGGGGTGGTCGGCAGTGGGGCCTGCTCACCTCAGTTAGCTTCCCTTCATTGAACTGATTTTGAACGGTGCTTGGCCTTACCTTCCTCTCCCCTGAAACTCTCCTTTTGGGGTCCCAGGTCCTGTTAACGAGGAGCCCCCACAAGGAGAGAGCTGAATGTGGGGAGGTTTCACTGCCAGGGCAAGGAGGCTGGACGTGGTGGTGGGGACGGCTCAGGTGGCCCCGAGCCCAGGTGCTAGATGCCTCATGAAGACAGGGCACCCACTGGGGGCCTCATGCCAGGCTGGAAGGCTGGGGGCTCTTCACTCCCTCCTCCCCGTTACACATCACTGCCCCGCGAAGCCCCCAGCTCGCCCTCCTGCTCCCGTGGCACAGGTGCAGCCTGTCCCCCATCCGCCTCGGCGCAGGGAGGAGGCCCATGAGCTGAGCCCCTCCCCGGAGCTGCTGTGACTTCAGGGACCCATCAGGCACTTAGCGCAGGGCGGCGGCCTCCAGCAGGACTTTGCAAACTCGTACACTTTTCCAAGGACCAAACCTCTGCTCGCGTAGAAGCCCCTCTCCAGGAGAATTTTAGGATCCTTTAGCTAAGATGCTTCCCTTTTATTACTGAACGTACACCCAGTAGTTTGTTAGAGCAGCAGTTTTGTGCGTTGAGGACAACCGTAGCCAGGAATCTGCATGCCACCCACAGCCCTGATGGGGCGCTGTCGCCCCAGTCTGATGTGAATTGGGTCAATTAAACACATCTGGGTGCATGGAGAGCCCCCCACGGTGGTTTATGCGTGGACCCTCGGGAACATTCTGCTGCCCCCTAGCCTGGCTTCGTGCTGACTGCAAAGCTGGAAGTCAAGACCACTGGAGAGGACAGCTCTGCTCGGCCTCTGGGGGAAGGGGCAGGGCAGGGTCTGGGGGCGGGGGGGGGGCTCTTCCTCTCAGGGAGGGGGCCTGGGAACCCGCAGGTCAGAGACAGCCAGAGGGTCAGAGGGATGTTGGTGTGACCCACAGCCAGATGCTCAGAGGGAGGGGGTTGGGCTGGGAGGACCTCTGCCCACATCCTGACTGGACGAGCCCAAACCCCACCAGTGGAAGGTTGAGGGGCAGCCTGGCACGTGGGGAAGCACAGGGAACAGCGCTCACATCTCCAGTGGGCAGCGGACAAGGTGTGGTGCTGACCTGAGGCTGATGCCCTCACCCACACACACGCACAGTATGGGCCCTACCCCGCTCAAGGCAGAGGTTCTGATCCAGACCCTCAGGCTGGGCTGCCGCAGAACCTTCCAGGAGGAGGAACTGCTGGGCTGGCCTCCTGGTCTCAGCCTCTTCTCATAAAAATGGTGCCAGTTCTGTACCCCAGGTGTGCAATGCTCCCAGAGGGGGCAGGACGATCACGGTCACTGGGAAGACAAGCCCCCCACCCCTCACACTGCTGAGCGCGCTGGCCCCTGCCCAGGCGTCCACGCTTAGTGGTGACCAGGGAGCATTTCCAGCCATGTTCTCTGGGGAAACACAAACGCCCCACCTTTGAATCCAGGCTTCTCATGAAGCTGCGTTGGTCCAGGGCAGCCCCCAGAAGAGGTCTGTCCTGGTGGTCCCGCCATGTTCCTGGGGGCTCCCTCTGGCCCAGATTTGTTTGGTCAGTGCGGCGTCAGAGCCGGGTTCCTGGGGCTCTGCCAAGGCCGAGGGGACCAGTGTCCCCCTGCCCCGAGAGACTGGGTGATCAGGAAGCCAGACCACACCCACGTCCCTGCCGCTGACACAGGAAACAGGCGTGCCGTCCCCTGGGGTCTCTGAAACGCACACTTCCATAACATGTCCACACAAAACCCCAAACCTCCCCCGCCCTGTTCCTGCCTCTGACATCACCGGGTCTCCACCAGAACTTTCTCTGGGGGTCAGTCTCACCTACCGGGCGTCCTGCACTGCTGCCCACCTCTGCACCCCGGCGCCCCCGGTGGTGACTGGGGCCCCATATTCCCCGTGTGCACACTGTGCTGTGTTTCTGACATCAACTCCCCCACACCTCAGCGAGGGACAGGGCACCCACCCCAAGCCTGCAAGGGGCTGGGGCTCCAAGGACTCTGCCCCAGCAGGAGCTGCACTGACCACAGGACAAACGTCCTCTGTAACCTGCAGGCACCAGACACGGCTGCTCCACAGACACAGAACACGCAAAACACTCGACGCTGAGTAGTTCTACTGTAATTCTCAGAGGTGAAAACTATACAGAAACACAGCAGAAATTGCCGGAACAGTTTGTATCTCTATAAAACATTCCTCAGCTGCACGCCCACAACCCTCCCCCGCTGATGTATAGGAACCGAGCAGACCCCGGGCCACCCCATGGCTCCCGGCAGCGAGCTCATGGACGCCGGGCAGCCCACGGCAGGGCCGGGTGACGAGGGCTATGTACAGCCAAGAGGTGGTGAGAGACGAGAGCGCCGCCCCCACCACGTGGCTCTGGCCTCCGTGACCTGCCAGCAAGCGGGTCAGGGGGCCCCCAGGAGAGGCCAGGGTGGGTGGCCACGTGCCCCCCTCCACCATCACAGGTAACCAGAGTGGCCAGGTGGTGCCCGCCCTCCTTGCCCACCAATCTTGGCCACACCGACGGCCTCTTGTGGCCGTGCGCCACCTGGAGCCCGAGGGCAGGCTCAGCGGTCAGACTGTTTCAGTGAAAATACGGCCAGGGCGCAGCGGGGGCCGCCGGCCCGCGTCTGGGCGTGGAAGAACTGTGCTGCCCCACTGGGAATGTCGACGCTGGACCTCCGCCCGCTGCCCCATCGCCCTGTCCCTCCGGCAGGCCTGAGTCTCGATGCAGTGTGAGTTAGCTCTCTGCGAGGCTGGCCAGGCTGCCTAGCTGCTCCCAGCCGAGGGGCAAATGGAGCCACACATGGGCAGGGCGGGGCGCGCCCCCCCACTGTCCACCGAGGCCTCCGTATCCCCAGCCTCGGGTGCAGGCAGGGGTTCGCTCGTGGGGTCCTGGCTCCTCTTCAGCCTGGGTGGGGAAACACAGGGAGGGGCTCTATGCAGCCTCGCCAGCGGCCCCAGGATGCTTCTCGCTGGCCCATGACTTGTCCCAGGACTCACGGAATGTGTCCCTCAGGAACACGGCTCAGGGGCTCCCCAACATGGACCAGGTGCCTGGCATCTCTGACTGGGCGGAAGCCCCCTCTGGGACATGCCGGCCCAGCAGGGAGCCAAGGGTGGACGTCGGGTGGCCACATGGGGCCTTTCAGCCCAGCAGCGCCCACATCTCACTATTCACCGCCTTCAGGCTCAGAGCAGGAGGGCTGCTGAGGCTCAGTCCGTTTCCAGCTAGAAGCGGGAAGGAGGCCTAGTTTACATGCAAGTTCTGTGGGTCAGCGATATCGGTGGTCAGACCGTTGCAGCAAAAATATGGCCAGAGCGCAGCAGGGGCCGCCAGCCTGGAACAAGGCTTTTCAAAGAGCTTGGCTGAGTCCTGTTCTTACCCAGGCCTCTGATCTCCAGGATGGTGGCCAGCGTCCTAGACCAGGACCCACACGTCATCCTGGTCACCAAGGCAAGACAGATCACTGGCCAACGCTGCTCACCTTCTGGGCCAGAGCTCAGAGCCACCTTCTCCAGGAAGCCCTCCGAGCCTCACCCTGCCACTCCCTGCCCCAGGCCCCACAGCACTGGGCTTCCTCCCTCCACTGCAGCAGGGGTCTTAGCTATTTGTGGCCTGTCGTATCTCCCTGCCAGCCAGCTGTGCCCCTTCTGTCCCACAGTCCCTGGCACCCAGCGAAGGTTTGCTGAATGAATGAATGAGTGAGTGAGTGAGTGAGAGAGGGGTGGGAGTTGATGTGACTCTGTAGGGGCTGCCCAGGAAGCCATCAGCCCTCATCTGGACAGCCCCCAGGTGTCTCCCCAGGAGAGTCTGGCCACTGGCCTGAGTTTAGAACTAAAAGTTCCTTCCCAAGGGCCCCTCCTGCACAAGGCCGAATGGGGACATGCACCATCTGCCCCCTAAGGGCCACTGCTCAGATTCCCCCTGCAGGGTGGGCATCACCAGGCCCATTGACGCCCTGTGGCTGCAGGGGCTCAGGACTCGTGTGGCCAAGAAAACCTTGGCCCAATTCCGCAAACTCCTCTCTGCCCCCATTACCCGCCCCCAACACACACACTCACTTTTCTCTGTTAAAAATCACGAAGTCCTGCTGGATCGCATCAAGGCAGTCCTGAAGGTAGTCATTCTCCTGTTAGTCAGAGAGACACACACGAGTGTAGTGGACACCGTCAGGTTCCCTCACATCCCCTACCGTGGGCCCCAACCATCCCCCTGCCCGGGTCTGCTGCTCCACCCGTGGCCTGCACCTGTGGCTCTCTTTGGAGGCCTGCCTTTGGGCCACTGGAGGAACTCCGCCCTCAGGCAGCCAGAGCACCCGGCAGTTTGCGTCTCCTAGGTGACGCTCAGCCAGTGACGGAAGGATATGCAGGGACGGAAGCCTGCCTCAGGGTGGATGACGACATGGAGGGACCGCACGATGGTCTGCGGGACCAGCCTTGACCGGAAACCACACCTGGCTTGGCTCCCTCCCCTCCCCTGCCCCCTACTGGGTCCTCCAGGTTACTTGTCACTAGTACACAGATTCCCATCTTAGGGTCTGCTTCTGGGGAACCTGCCCTGAGAAGGCCAGTCGCAGGGGCTGTCCCGAGAAGCAAACTCTCAGGACGGGTTGTGGAGTCAGATCCAGACTGGCCAGGTCAACGAGGAACCCGTCTTTGGTGGCACACGGAGTGTTGAAGGTCCCTGGCAGGCCGTGGGACTCGAGTTACTATGGCTCTTGCCTCAGAGAGTTGGGAGTGGGTGCTGGCTGCTACCACAGCTCTGGCGTTGCGGAGACATGAGGAAGGAGTAATCACATGGACATGGGTCTGCTTGGCTACTGCTGGGCCCAGTGTGGAGAGATGCTCCGTCCTGCGGCCTGGGGCAGCACACTGGACACCAGGCTGAGATGTGAGAGCAGCGGAACCCCAGAGCAGGCTGCACTCAGCCTTGGGACATTTCCTGCATCCAAGCCAAGGCCCCGACAGGGAGGGAGCTGGACTCGGAGATTCGGGAGGGGCCGCCTGGGGATGCACGTGGGTACATCTAAGGGATGCACGCGGGCCGTCTGGGTGGGTGCACGCGGGCCATCTGGGTGGCTGCACGTGGCGCATTACCCCCAGTGCTCCTGCACTCTCTGAGCCTGTAGAAGGGCCCTTTCCCTGCTAGAGAAGAGCAGAACCCCCCACCAAAATCCTGCAGATGATCCAGAGCTGCAACCGCAGCTGACACCACAGAAGACAGTACTTGCTCTCTCAAGATCTGCCTCCACCTGCCCTCCCAGCTTCAGGGCAATAACCAGGTCAGTAGCGTGGCCCGGCTTGGGGAGTGCTGGTCCTGCTGAGGTGAGACATGTGTGGCTCACTGAGCCAGGAGGATAGGCTGGGCATGGACCTGGAGGCGTGTGGCCTGGGGTGGGAGTGGGACACATGCTCGATACGGAGGGTCTACTGATGTGAGGGCATCCTTCCATGACTTGGGATCTAATTCTCTGGCAAGGGCACCCACACCGCAGGGTGGCTCTTAGAAACTTGGAAGAAATGATGGCCCAGGTGAAGATTCTAGAACAGCCTGGGAAGAATGCTGAGAGGGACAAAGTCTCAGAGCAGTGGCAGCTAGAAGGGGTCAACAGACTCAAGATTGAAGACCCAAGCAGCCCTCAGATGACCGTGTTCTTCTGGAGGGCCCAAAGGACATTCCTTCCAGCAAGATGGTAAAGAATGAGCTGGCGAGGGGCACAGCACCACGAGAAGCTCAGCGGTGTCTGTGTTCTACCGGAGATACTGTTCCAGGACCAAGCCCCTGCTGCCGTGGGGATGACAGTATACAGAATAACAAGCCCGAACCCAACTTAGCTGCACTTAACCAGGTGGAAGTAACCACAGTGACAGGCAGCAGGGCTGGAGGGGCAGGGACGCGGACGCCCAGGATGTAGATGATGTCCAACAGGTCACGGCGCTCCTGGGGTCAGAGACGGACAGCCAGCATCCACATACACACACACACACACACACACACACGCATGCACACACACGCACACACATGTGCACACGCACACACAGTAAGATCAATGGTGCGTGAGCAGAAGGCTGTCGTCAGCCACCTTGATGGGAAGTCAGAGTTTTCTCCTCATCTCCAGATCTAATGCGGTTCTCAGACCTAGAACCACCAGCAGAAGGAGCGTCAGGTTCCCCGTAAGGAAGGCCATGCTAGTTCACAGCAAAGGTACATGGCAGCAATTCTGGCCCTTCCCAAAGGCGCCATGACATGTCCCTGAATATCTGTCCACGGGCAAGAGGGAAATACCCAGACGGTTCGAGGTCTGTGGGATATGGGGTAGGGCTAACACTTGGCCCACGTCCATCTAATAGTGGCCCAAGGGGTCCACACACCCACCCAGGGGCTATTTTTCCCCAGCTGCTGAACGCACTGTCCAGATGGGTGTGTTGGATCTGGCAGAACTCTCAAACGAGTTCCCCGACCTGTGGAGTGACAGCTATTACCACAGCTTTCAATTTTTAACTCTGAGGACACAAGAATGCTGCTCCTCATTATTTTCCCATTTAATTCACAAGCCTGGCGTCTGGCTCGTGGCAGATGATGGCGGACCGTGGCAGATGTAGCCTACAGGGAGCTCCACATGCAGTTACTGAGCCAGATACAGACTCTTTACCAGACAGGTCAACACAGACTCTGAAGTGAGGCGTGTAGCCACTGATTTGACCCAACAACAGAGAGGACTCGAGCCAGTCGGCCTTCACCCGAGATGGACAACTGTACCCTCATGGTCTTGCCCAGGGCTGTCTGCCCTCCTGTTCTCTGTCACAGAGAGAAAGATCCTGTTCATCTGGACGTCCACCGTTACCCACTGTGCTGACAGCGTGACGTTAACTAGAGTAGATGAGCAGGAAGTGGCAGGAACTCTGTGTGTCCTCATAAAACACACGTGCAGAGTGGGGGACATAAACCCCGCCAGGACTCTGAGCCTGTTCTACTGCTGGTCTTTTTGGGGATCTGGTGATACGGCCACCCTAGGACATCCCCACCAAGGCCAAGAGAAGTGACTTTGCCTCACACCTCTTTCCACTAAGAATGCAGCACAGACCTTGACAGGCTTATTTGGGTTTTGGAGCAGGCTGCTTTTTCTCCACCCCAAGGCAATGCCCCTCACGTGATGCCCGTGCGTTACGAGGGTTTGCACGCTGGCTGGAGGACCGTGAACTATTCCCAGCCCTGCGTGGGCTGGGATGGCTCTGCCTGCTCCTTGGAGTGGCTCCTTCCCCAGTCTCGGTGGTTCCCCACGTTGTGTGAAGACTCGAGGGGACTCTGCAGATCCCCCGGGCTCTCTCCCCTCCCGTACCTGCCCTGCCACCTTGGCCTCCCCCAAGGAGTCCCCGTCCTGGCAGGGTAACTGACCTTAACCATCAAGAAGAGATGAGGCTTCTGCACCAAAACAGACCATGCAATTCCCCTAGCTGTGTCTTAGCGTTCCCTGGCTTAATGTGGAGAATCCGTGGATGCATGCACAAACTCCGGCCTGAGAAGGGAATGCGACCAGAGGCTCAGAGCGTTCAGGGTGAGGGTCCAGGTCACGCCAGGAGGCGAGCCACTGACACACTGAGACCAACAGAGGTGCAGAGTGAGGGAGAGGAGGAACCAGAAGGGATGTGGGAGGATGCAGAAGATGCGCGTGGGCTCTGGCCCCGGAGCAACAGGAGTGACAGGGGCTTCTCGCTAACCTTTCTCATCTAGGTTTTCCCAGGAAGAGGGGTGCCCCAGACGCCTGAGGAGTGGATGCAAGAGGTGGACCGTGTGCCCTGAGACGTGCAACCATGACCCTCCACCAAGGGCCCCTTCTCCCCGAGCTGCGTGGCGTGCTGTCCACAGGACACCCTTTGCCATATCTGTGCGCCTGTCCTGGCTCAGGTGTGCTTTTTCTTCTGACGGCCCACGCCTATGACTCTCGACGATCCGCCTCTGGCTACTGCAGCCCTTTGCCAACACACACACAGTTGGAGGGCCACCAAAATTCACGTCCCTCTGGGGCCCTTAGCTGATGACTGCTGAGTGTGGGAGACGAAAGCCTAGCTTCCTGGGAGCATGACCGACACTCCAGAGTCCCCTGTGGGGTCAGCTTGAAGCTGCTCTCCACAGGACTTTGCCTGAAATCCAACCCTTGCTGGCTTCTCCCACTCCGAGTGATTTCTCCCAGGTGTATTTCCCGAATAAATCGTTGGCAGATGAATCCTCGTCTGAGGGCAGACATCTGTGGGGCCTCCATCAATGCTGACACTCATAGCATCAGACCCCAGACGTCACCCAAGGTGGGAGGGACAAGGGCCTGGGAACGGAAACCAGGCTCCAACCCCTAACTTTGTCTCAGATAGACCTGCTGAGCAACTCAGTACAATTCCCCAACCTCTCAGAATTCACTGGAAGAGCAAGGGACCCAGAGTGACCAAAGAGCAAGGGACCCAGAGTGACCAAACAATTGGAAAAGAAGAACACAGCTGGAGGACTCACACTTCCTGGTTTCAAAACTCACTACAAAGCTACAGCCATCAGGACAGTGTGGGCTGGCACAAGGACAGAGAGATCAATGGAACAGAACTGCGAGTCCAGCAGTAAACCTTGTATTTTGGTCAAGTAACTTTCGAAAATGATGCCAAGCAATTCAATGGGAAAAGAACAGTCTTTTCACAAATAGCATTCGGGCAACTGGACATCCACACGCAACAGAGTGAAGGTGGACCCCACCTGATACTGTCTGTGAAATTAACTCCAAATGGATCCCAGACCTAAATGTAAGAGAAAACTATACAATACTTGGAAGGAAACATAGGAGTAAATCTTTGTGACCTCAGGTTAGGCAATGGTTTCTTAGATAAGACACCAGAAGCACAAATGAAAAGAGAAGAAATTGATACATTGGACTTGATCAAAATCAGAAACTGCTGCTAGTGGTACCACCCAGAAAGAGAAAAGGAAACACACAGGATAGAAGAAATATTTGAAATCGTCTCTCTGATAAGGGACTGTATCCAGAATATGTAAATAACTCTTATCGATCAGTAATAAAAAGACTAATAAGGAATCTGGTTTCAGCTCTGACAGTAAGAAGCCTGGAGGACGTCACTCCCACTCACAAGAAGAAGAAAGCTGAACAGACTGGAAATCGACAACTCCCACCTGCAATTCCCCCTCTGGACACCACCGGCTGCCACCAGCAGTCCCGGGCGGGAGGGGGAGAGGATGGGCCTTTGCTCCCTGAGAAATCGAGGCACCCAGGGGGTGACCCCCAACCCTGGACCCTACACCGTGGTGAGGAGGGGACTGATGCCCCTCTTCTGGCCAGACCCCGTGCCTGGGAGCGACACAGGGCCCGCCAGGTGTGAGAGGTTGCACAGGGCCTGGGGGCCTGAGGGGCACCCCAGGGCATCCTCCACTGGCTCAGGCAGTTCCAGGGGCAGGGAGACCACTAATCACATACAGTGTCACCACCGTGACCCCTGCCACCAACACCCACATCCCTAGTTGCTTTTCTGAACACCAGCCGTACCCTGGGATGGGTTTAGTCCTGACCCCCCACATGCTCACTCTCCCCAAGAACACCCCCACCACTCCAGAGATGCTGCGCGACCTGGGGCAGGGGAGGAGTTGTTATGGGTTAAACTGTGTCCCCCCGAAGTGAAATCCTAACCCCACTACCTCTGGATGTGAAATAAAGTCACTGCAGACGTAATGAGTGAAACTAAGGGGAGCTCATTCTGGATTAGCATGGGTCCTAATCCAATGAATGGTGTCCTTCTAAGAGGAGACACAGACAAGTGCAGGAGAGTCCACGTGACACAGGAGACAGAGACCGGCATGATGCACCCACAAGCCAAGGAACGCCAAGGACTGACGGCCACACCCAGCGGCCGGAAGAGGAGGAGGCATTTCCCCAGGCTCCCGATGGTCCCTTCCCACCCCCTTCAGAGGAGGAAGCGAGGGGCTCAGAGAGGCTGCAGGAGTGAGCTGGGCTGGGAGGCAGGAGAAAAGTCTCAGGACCTCAGGACGACCAGCCACTGGACTTTCAAGGTGCGCTCCCTGCCAGCGGCCTGGCGGGACGCCGTGAGGTGTGGAGAGGACCCTGCGCCCGCAGCCGGCACTCACGGACTGGGAGCTGTCCCTGCTGCTGTCCCGGGACCGGTTCTTGGCCAGCCGCTTCTTCTTCTTGTGCAGGGGCCTCGACTCCAGGATCATCTCCTCCAGCTCGAAGGTGGGGTCGCAGTGCAGGCGGCCTTTCTGTGGAGGGACCGGGTGCTGAGCCCGGCCCCCGGGGTCCACCCACGCCTGCCCAGGGACCGCCCCCGGGCCGCCCGGCAGGCTTACGTTGGGCACAAAGCCTGGCTCCACCTTCTTCTCACTCAGGTCGTCCCACAGCACGTGGGCCAGCGACGGGGCCGCCCGCATGTCCTGGAGACTGGAGACGCGGTGCTTGGGGTCCACAGTGAGGAGCTGGAACGGGGCCTGTGTCAGACGGCCCCGGGGCCCAGCAAGCGCCCGGCGTGAAGAGCAGGCCGCCTGCCCCGGCCAGGGCACCCGGTGAGGTCTCACCAGAAGGCCTGAGGTTTGGAAATTCTGGACCTCAAGGGTCAGGCGAGGAAAAGTGGCCGGATTTCAACCTGGCCAGCGCAGGAACGTGGCCAAGGGGCCAATTTGGTCTGAGTGGTCTGGCCAAGCCCCTGGAGCCCAAGGACGGCAGAGGGCATCTGGGGTGCACAGGGACATTCTGCGGAGATTCACCAGCAGGCGGCAGCATGGCCAGCGTCCAAAAGCTGGGTTAAGAGGCTCTCAGGGCCTGGGAGGGACCTCTAGCTGCTTGGCCAAAATTCCAGGGTCAAAGGTTTCGGGCAGGAGCCAAGACCTCTGTGGGCCAGGAGACAGCAGCTGGAAGCCGTGCCTTGCATGTCCAGCTCGCCCTCCCACACTGGACCCTGACCCGGGCTTGATGCACCAGTGCATTTCAAGTGCGGCTGTCCAAGTGGGGAGCCATGGGGGCCAGCCAGGGAGCAACCCCCCACCCAGCCCTGGACCCCAGAAGGTACTCTGAGGGCAACCCCACGGCCTTACGTCCCTGCCAGGCTGAGGTCCCTTGGGCTGCTGCAGACACCCACTCAGGCCCTGGGAGGTGCAAAGGGGTTCCAGGGTCTTCTCTGCTTGCTCCTGGGGGGTGTGGCCAGGCCATTGGCAGCGGGCAGTGGCTGACCATCTCCAACAGGAGCAGGGGCAGAAAAGGCCAGAGCACAGCGCGGGCCCAGCACCCAGCCCTGCACACCCTCCCTCCAACACGCACGACACGGTGACCTGGCACAGGGTTCGCGTCTCTGCACCTCAGTTTGGGCATCTGTGAAATGGGGTGATAACCAGTGTCCCGGAACCAGGCCGTGAGGATTAAAGATAAGGGTGCACATGATTCAGCTCACAGCCAGTGCCCACAGGCCGAGCTATTACAAGAGGACAGAGAGCTGCAGCTGGAGCCAGGCGGCGAGGGACCCAAGACACAGAATGCAGGAACCAGACGCCTTCCGAGACAGGGTCTCCACAAGGCCCACCCCCGGGGACAGGATGCTCAGCCCAGCCTCGTGTGCCCGGCGCGTGTGTTCCGGGAGGGGCTCACCTTCCGCAGCAGGGCCACCATCTCCTTGGACCAGGTGGGCACGTACTGGACGCTCATTGTGCTGAACAGCTGCACCAGGGACTCCACTGCGTTACTTGAGTGGATGTCGTAGGGCCTCTGGGGCAGGGAGGCAGCGCTGCACCCAGTGTCTCACCCCATCCCCCCAAGGCGGCTGAGGCAGCACCCCACCCCCAGGACAGGCACAGCCCTGAGCACGGCCTCGCCCCAGGAGGCGAAGCCTGGGCCTGGGCTGCGGCCACACCCCGGCCCGGAAACTGTCCAGAAGAGGCTGCAGATCCGGCCAGGAAGCAAGCACATCTCCTCCAGAGGCCTGGGCCCGGGTGGATGAGCCCCCGAGGGCCAGGAGGGGCCTTCCTCAGGGGCGGGGTCCCATGGGGTGGCTGAGGGTACAGTGCCCACCATGAGGGGAAGGGAAGGGCAGTTGGTGACCTGACGAGGCCCCCGGCCTCCCAGGCTCCAGGGCTGGCCTGGCTGTGGTCACAGGGGTGAGAGCAAGGAGACCCGCACAGGACCTCAAGGGAAGTCCCGAGGAGCCAGCCCTGCTGGGCAGTTCTCTGCCCTGTGCACCTTCAGAGGCCGGTGCACAGCCCTGCCAACAGCCCCCAGAAAACCCACAGGGAGTTTCCTCCTGCACTCGCTCAGGAGTCGCCCATCCACCCAGACGCTTCGCTAAAAGCGTCCGTCCTTGCTAATGGACACTGCAAACACCCTTGAGCATGTGGGGGTGGGGACAGCCTCATCCCACCCCAGGGCCCTCGGGCCACCCCTGGGGGACACAGTCAGCTCGGGGTCTGGGGACCGAGCCCGTGGGCCGTGGGAGCTCCGTACCCATCCGCGCAGCAGCTCGTAGGCCATCACCCCCACCGACCACCAGTCCACCTCGAAGGAGTAGCCGGTCCCACCATTGACGAAGGACTGGAAGATCTCCGGAGCTTTCCAGAAAGGAAAGGAGCAGATGAGCACCCCGGACCCGCAGGCCCCTCGGCTGGCCCCTTGGCAGGGCCCCGAGACCTGCTGCCGCCAGAGCTGGACGGGGAAGCTGCCCTCAGTGGTTCGTCCTTCCCCACTGACCGCTGGGTGCAACTCCACGTCCCACAGCCTGACATGGCCGGTGGGCTCTCATTATCATATCCGTAATTCTCACTGCGTCACTGAGATTCTTCCGTAGGGACCAGACACGGCTGTTCGTAACAGCCTGATCCCGTCACATACTGCTGTGTGCCTTTAAGGAGGTGACCTGACCCCACCAGCCACAGGCTCAGCGTGGAAGCGCAGCCACCGGCGGGCTGACAGGGTGGGTGCAAGGGCAGGCGAGGGCGCAGCTCACCCATGTAGGGCTTGGTCCCGGCCAGGGCGGTGGCCCTCTCCCCGTCCTTTATGATGGTGGCGATGTTGAAGTCAGTCAGGTGTGCGTGTCCTGTGAGGAGGGAGGGCAGCGTGACTGTCCCAGGGACCAGAGATGTGTCCTGAGGCAGGGCGGAAGACCCCATGTCTTTGGCCTCACACGGCACCCCCCTCACCTTGCTCATCCAGCAGAATGTTGTCGGGCTTGACATCTCTGTAGGAAGAGCAGAAAGTGGGGAGATGGGTCCAGAAGTCCCTCCTGTTCCTGCCCCACATCCCCGGCAAGGCTGGGGGTTCCCACAAGGGCCCCCAGACCCAAGGCAGAGGCCCCAGAGGCCTGATGTGGGCCTCGAGAAGATGCTAGGGCCTAAGGCCCGCCCCCACCTGGCAACATGCTGATGGGGCTAGGTGAAAGCAGCCATTCCAGTCCCTGTGGGGGCTGTAGACAGACAGTGGGAGAACACCGCGCATTGGACAGAGGGGTGCCATAGCCCCCAGAGGACAAAAGCAGAGCCCCCTGGCCCAAACCCTCCAGGCCACCCCTCTCCCAGAGCCCCATGCTGCACAGAACTGTGAATTTAGGTCTGTGCCTTCCACCAATTTGCTTCAGGCCTCGCCCGGCTTCCAGGCCTCAGTAAGTGTTTGGTGCCTGAATCACAGAACCCCCGGGGCAGAAACGCACAAAGCACGTCTATTTGACTTGATAATAAACCACGTAAGTTTTTTTGTTTTGTTCTGTGGATACAGATCTATCTTCCTAATTTCATCTGCTTTCAGCTCATGTTAAGATTAGTGTGAATTCCCCAGGGATTTGGCAGATGGGCAGAAGGGCGTCTGCCAGACGGTGGCAGGGATCCTGCAGTGAACAGATCAGGTGAAGGCAACCCCGATGTGGCCAGGCCCTGGGGTCTCGGAGAGCCAACAGCCCTCTGTGCCCAGCCTCAGCTGGAGCTGCTCAGACAGGGTTCTCCGCAGGTGGCCATCAGCTGCGTAGCTGTGGGGCTGGCCTCAGAGCCAGGCACTGATTGGTGCCAGGCCTGGGGGCAGGTCTGCGGGCAAGGGCTGGGCCAAGCATGCAGGAGCCCGTCCAGGTTCTGCTGGAGTGCCGCCGCCCACAGGTGGACTGACCTGAGGCTGCTGCCGGCCCCACCTGGCCTAGGCAGGCACCCCACCCCGTCAGGTGTGCACACACCTGTGGATGATGTGCTGACTGCGCAGGTAGTCGAGGGCCAGCGCCATCTCACAGATGTACAGCCTCACCGTGTCCTCAGAGAACTGCACATTCTGCTGCAGGTGGTAGCGCAGGTCCCCACCCAGGAGCAGGTCCACCACCATGAACATGTCCTCCTCGTCCTGGAAGGAGTACCTGTGGGCGCCGGGGGAGGACCTGGCACACGCACGTCTGGGAAGCCAGAGTCACAGCTCCTGCCGCACCCAATGAGCCCCCATCTAAGGGCCCTGGCCCCACCCCCATCCCACTGGGAACTCCCCAGGAGCACCTTCCTGCCCAAGGCACTGACTCTGCCCCTGCTCAGAAGTTGCTCTGAGCCAAAACCCTCGGGAAAGACAGAGAGGCCATCCTGATGGGAGGTGGCTGAGCTGGGGGAAGAGACGCCCATGTGACCAATTGAGAGTAGAACACGTCCCATCTCTGAGCCCTTCTGCCCTGATTTCCTCTTCTCTAAAAAGGGGGTAAAAACATCTGCTTTGAGGGTTGTTAAAGAAGTTGAACCAGTGAGGCAGGATGCTCAGGCAGTGCTGAGCAAGGGGCCAGCTTCTAACAACTAGCAGCTGTGCTAATGGTGACGGTGGTGATGGTGGTGATAGTGATGGTGATGATGAAGATGATGATAATGGTGATGATGATGGTGGTGGTGGTGGTGATGATAGTGGTGATGGTGATGACGATGATGGCAGTGGTGGTAACGATAGCGATGGTGATGATACTGGTTGGTGGTGGTGATGACGATGATGATGGTGATGATGGTGGTGGTGATGATTATGATAATAGTGATGATGGTGATGACAGTGATGGTAATGATGGTGATGTTGGTGATGGTGGTGGTGGTGGTGGTGGTGGTGGTGATGATGGTGATGGTAATAATGGTGGTGGGGATGATTATGATGATGGTGATGATAGTGATGGTGATGATGGTGATGTTGGTGATAATGGTAATGTTAATGGTGGTGACAGTGATGGTGATGGTGATGATGATGATGATGTTGGTGGTGATGGTGGTGATGATGGTGATGGTGGTGGTGATGACGATGATGGTGGTGATGTTGATGGTGGTGATGGTGATGGTGGTGATGGTGATGGTGGTGGTGATGGTGGTGATGATGGTGATGGTGGTGGTGGTGGTGATGATGATGATGGTGGTGATGTTGATGGTGGTGATGGTGATGGTGGTGATGGTGATGGTGGTGATGATGGCAGTGGTGATGATTACGATGATAGTGATGATAGTGATGATGGTGATGGTGATGGTGATGTTGGTGGTGGTGATGGTGATGATTATGATGATGGTAATGATAGTGATGGTGATGATGGTGATGTTGGTGGTGGTAATGATGATGATGGTGATGGTGGTGATGGTGATGGTGGTGTTGGTGATGATGATGATGGTGGTGGTGATGTTAACGGTGGTGACGGTGATGGTGATGACGGTGATGGTGATGATGGTGCTGATGGTGATGTTGGTGGTGGTGATGATGATAATGGTGATGATGATGATGGTGACAGTGGTGATGGTGATGATGGTGGTAATGGCAATGGTAGTGATGGTGTTAATGATAATGATGGTGGTGGTGGTGATGATGATGGTGATGATGGTGATGTTAGTAGTGGTTATGATGATGATAATGGTGATGATGATGGTGGTGGTGGTGTTGGTGGTGATGGTGATGGCGATGATGCTGATGGTGATGATGGTGATGATGATGATGATAGTGATGGTGATGATGATGATGTTGGTGATGGTGATGGTGATGGTGGTGGTGGTGATGGTGTTGGGGGTGATGATGATGACGATGGTGGTGGTGATGTTAACAGTGGTGACGGTGATGGTGATGATGTTAGTGATGAAGATGATGGTGATAAAGGTGATGGTGATGATGACGATGATAGTGATGATGATGATGAAGATAGTGGCAGTAACGAAACAATGGTTTAAGGACCTCCTTCCACTTTGTAATTTCTTTTGTGAGCTCTCAGAGGTAACTCTTATCATTAATCAACTGGCTCTTTCAAGAATAAAGTCACAAAGAATTCATTTTTCATGTGATGTTCCTCTCCCTGCCCACCAGAAGCCCCCCTGCTCTCATTCGCAGGGGCAGGTGGCCTGGGGAGGGTCGTACAGGTTGGGCCTGGGGCTGGGGGCATGGGGATGGGAACATAGAGCAAAGAGACTCAGAATGTCAGGCTCCAGGACAGGCCGAGGGTCCTGGAGAGCAGTGGACAAGACACCTGGGGCAAGGCTGCAGCGGCCCCGCCCTGCCTATCCCTGGGATGGTAGGAGACGTTCCCTGGCAGATCAGCCTGTCGGGATGGGATCCCAGCTGCAGTAGGAGGGGAAGGGAACATTAATGGTAACGATGGCTCATAGCCCTGAGTTGCCCCGTGTGGAGCACTCTGTCTGCGTAGATGCATCTAAACTTCTGCGCAGACCGACAAGGGCAGCACTGGGGACCACTCCCAGCCCCATTCCACAGAGGAGGGGACTGAGGAAGGGAGGTTAGGGCATCATCTACAGCAAGGTGGGGGGATTCAAGGCGGAGCCCATGCTCCTGATCACCAGGACACACTGCCTCCCAGAGAGAGGCCAGGAGGGCCAGGGTGGGGGGCTGAGGACCCTGAGGAGGGAAATCCTGGGTCTTCCTTCTTTGCAAGAAGCCCCACTGCTAGCGTTGTGGCTGAGGGTCAATCACAGATGGCAGCGGTTCCTACGAGGCTATAGGCCAGGCCTCGCCTCAGTGAGGTCGTTTCTGCCCCACTGACCCACCACCCCAGGGGGGCCATCATTGCCTTCGAGGATGAGGAATCTGACCCTCCCAGCCGTCGGGCCGCGGGGGCAGATTTAAGGGGTATGTCGTACGTGGATGCCCCCTAGCTTTAGAACTGTTATCCCCAGATGCTGATAACAAGACCATGGGGCACAACGACGTGGTGTGGCCCTGCCAGCCCTTCTGCCTGCCCAGAGACTCGCCAGTGGTTAGGGCCACAGGGGCCACAGTGAGTGTGGCCAGGGCCCTCGATGCAGACGGGCGTGAGGGTCGGGGGATGAGTGCCCTTTCCCCAGGCTCCTTCCTCCTGGCCCAGGCAGCCCAGGCTCCACCACGCCCCGGGGGCTCTGAGGCCACGGTCAGCGTCTCCCTGTCTCCACACAGCCGCCCGGGGAAGACCACGCTCCCCCCACGGCACATCCAGTTCCTCCTTCCCACGTCACTCCCGAGCAGGACCGTGTGACTCCACGGGGGATGATGTGGATGTGGGCTGCTGTCCACTTTGACATCCCCCCTGCACCTGCGGTGACCCCAGGTAAATAACCAGGGAGGGCGGATCTGGACTCTGAGCCCCTGAAAGAGCTAGCACCCCATCATTTTCAGACAGAACACACTGCCCCCACTCTCTGTCCCCAGCGCTGGCTGGGCTGTCTCTTCCTCTAAGTTCAGCTAGTGGATACTCAGGTCATACTGGGGGAATGTTTAAATCTCCCTGAGGCAGCACTGCCAGACCCGGCGCTCGTTTATCAGACGCCTCCCCAGCTGCCGTGACACTCTGTGCCCGCCAAGGGTTCTTGGGAATGACGCCCCATCTGTGAGCGCATCAGGGAGCTCAGACCCCACGATGGGAGGATTCAGGGAGGACCCCAGTGTCGGGAGGATTAAGAGAGGACTCTTACTTTGGGGAGGCCCCTGTGTGAGCAGGACTCCCAGGGAGGAAGGAGGAAGTTGATCTCCCTGCAGCCCACAGGTTCCTACACCTCCTGGGGCAGGTCTTGGTGCCCATTTTGTGGAAGAAACTCAAAGTCAGGACCCCAACTCTCCCCCACTGGCTTTAGCGCCAGAAATTCCGTGGGTCACAGGCCTCTCCTGTGGGAAAGCTGGGCTTCCTGCAGGCCAGGGAGAGCTGCATTAATGCAGTGTGCTTGGACACCTGGATGGCTGCCAGCCCAGGACACCAGAAGGCGGTGGATGGGGAGGGGGAGGGAGGAGCTGTAGGTGCCAGGGGCGCCCAGGGGCAGGAGAAGAGGGAGCACCAGGGAGGGGCGCCCAGGGTCAGGAGAGGGTGGCCACCCTCCACCAGCTTCGGGGCGGCAGCAGGTCCTGCTGGGTCTCCGCCCCTCAGGGTGGGCTCACCAGAGGTTCACCAGGAAGGCGTGCTCAATCTCCTGCAGGATCTGCAGCTCGCGGAGCACGTTGCGGACCTCGTCCCGCTCGATGCACTGCTGCTTGCTCATGTACTTCATGGCGTACATCTTCTCCGTGTCCCGCTTCTGCACGATGCACACCTGGAGGGCAGGCGTGCTTCAGCACGGACGCCGGGGGACAGAGAGACTTTGCCCCTCTGCCTCCCACCCCAACCAGCAGATACAACTCTGAAACAACCCCGATTTCAAGCCTGTGGCAGGACAAGTCTCCTGTGCACAGGCATCTGGGAAAGCAGGCAGGACCCAGCCCAAGAGCACAGCGGGGCGGGGCTAAGGCTGGGCTGTGCCTGCATCCCCTCACCAGCTGTGACCTGGGCACCTCCTTCCCAGCACTCAGAAAGCAACTGGCTTGGATGGCTGTTGGGGACTGAAGGAGAGGACCCCCTTACCAGAGCCCTGCACCCAGGAAGCCCCCATGAATGAGAGCTGCTATTCTCATCCACCACAGGGCCATCATCCCCAGTGCAACAGGGACCCTCTGGTGATGACAGGGTCCCCACACAGCTCTTACATCCCAATCCCCCGAGCACTGAACTGCGATGCCAATTTACAACAACACTGCTAACAGCTCGCTAATTGCTTGGCAGAGAGGATCAGGGTGAGGAGAGAGCGACAAGCATAGACCTACTAGAACCTCAGGCTGGGGGCCCTCGCTGCCAAGGAGCATCAATCAAATGCAGGGACCCAGGTCTCCAAAGGAGCCAGGATTCATGCACAAAATCAGGGGCTGCAAAGCCGGTGCCATGTCCCCCAGGCAAGTGGTGGAGAGACCTCTCGAGGACAGATAACCCAGGGCCACTCCTGAGGGTCCCCACAGCCTTCGGTCTCCAGGGCTTCAAGGAGCGGGAGGCAGGGGGGTCCAGAGGAAGTGGAAGAGTCTGGAAACTGAGGTGGGTGGGGGACTGTCCTGGGGGCCTCACCCAAAGACAAGCGGCCTGGAACTGACCAGACATCTCAGTGGGCATCAGTCTCGGGCCAAACCTGCTGGATCCAACCCACTGGTGAAACCCACGTCCCCTCAGCAGGAACAAACCCGAAGAAATGAAGGTGCGCTGTTCTGAAGATGTTCATCGCAGCTAAACAAACTGTTTATAACAAACCTTTCAACAGCCTAATGGACCAGGGCAGGTAAGCCGATGAAATAGCACACAACCACTGAATAATATTTATAAAGACTTCTAACGACGTGTGGCAATTCGTATAATGCCAAGCAAAGCTGTAAAGCTACATTATTAACGCAAACAACGTGGACATGATAGACCCGCCATGGGCAGACCCTGGGTTTGAGCACGGGAGGGTGATTGAAACGGCTACGCCCGCCAGACGGGAGGCGGGAGCACCTTCCTTTCGCTGTGGTTTCTGCAACGTTATCGGGAGGCGTCTGGCGACAGACGCTGACGTCACGCCCCAGATCCAGGCCTACCCCGTGGCGGTTGTCAGGGTTCTGGACGCAGAAGCTGAGCAGCTGCACTCACCCGAGTCCCGAGTACGCCCCTGTCATCCAGGTACAGCAACCTCCTGAGGCACCGCTGCAGTTTCCAAGGTAACACCACGCACACTCTGCCTTGCGCACAGGCCGCGCGTGAGCCCCCGAGGGGCGAAGCTCTTGGGGTGATGCCCACGGCACGGAGGGGCATCTCGCCATGGCTGAGCTTCTACACACCTCTGAGGCCGCCCGGCCTCCACCTCGAACCTGCCCAGGAGCACAAACCCAACCAAGGGCCGTGCAGGCCACCAAGACCCCAGTGAAGCCCTGCCTAGAACTGCCTCTGCCCATCTCAGCCCAGGGACATGGGGGCTGGCCTCAGACCTGCGTCCCTTCACGCCTCCAAAGACCCCGTCCGGTCTCGATGCTGTGAGAATCAAGGCCTCTCCTCGCCGCCCTGCAAGGACTGAGGCCCGGAGCATTCCTGCTGGAGCGAGCGTGCAGAGAGGGGAGCCCTGACCTTGTGGGTGGGCCGGGTGGGGTGGGGAAGGGGGGCCTCGACCATTGTCCTGCCCTGTCCTTGCCCCCAAGGCCTTCCCCACGCAGATAAAGGTACAGAGCAGTTCCTGTTCTCTTGGCCCTCCCCCAAGGGGAACAGGGTGGGGGGCACCAGCTCTCTGAAAGGAGCATAAACAGCCAGGAAACGGTCGTCCTCCAGTGGGTTTGGGGAGAACTCCCTTGGTGGGGGAGGTGTGGGGTAGGTTCCTCTGAGGGACAACACACATTGCACATGCGGGACCCCTGCTGACCGCAATGAGGCAGGGCGCCGGGCTGCGGCTGAGAAGGCCACCAGAGACGCCCAGGTGAGAGGACAGCTCACACCCTGAAGTTCCCCCCGATTCTACCCATCAGTCCAGTTCTGGCTGCTGAGGCCACACATAGCGGGCAGATTGCTGTCAGGGGCCCTTCAGGTGCCCGAGGGCAGCTCTGACGTCCCCCATGGCTTCTCTCCCCGGCCAGAGGGCCCCATGTCCCCAGGCCCGTCCTTCCTCCTTGGGGGCCTGGCCTCTCTTCACTGGCCAACAGCGGCCTCTGAACTTGGCTGACCCTCCATTTCCCCACCTGCTAAACTCAGACGCTACACTGGCTCTCGAGCTTGTGAGAGTCAACCAGATGTGGTGGCTAAGAGCACTTTGCAAACTGCTCGTGGTCAGGGTCAAGTCCAGGCCTCATGCTCACGTGTCCACCCAGGGCTCTGTCTCCTACTGTGGTCAGCTGAATGGCCCCCAGGGATGTCCCCAGACCCTGTGAACATGTTACCTTATGGAGAGAGAATCCTGGATTGTCTCTGTGGGCCCTAAACACAATCACAAGGGGAGGCAGAGGGAGACTCGACACAGAAGAAGGTGTCTTGGTCAGCTCAGGCAGCCATAACTAAAGACCACAGACTGGGGGGCTTAAACGACACACTTATTTCTCACAGTTCTGGAAGCTGGAAGTCCGAGATGAAGGTGCAGGCCTATTCGGTTCTCGGTGAGGGCCCTCCTCCCGGCTTACAGATGACGCCTTCTCGCTGTGTCCTCACATGGCCTTTCCTCAGAGGTGTACGTAGAAAGACCTCGGGTCTCTTCCTCTTCTTACAAGGACACTAACACTACCTTGGGGACCCCACCCTCATGACCTCATATAAACTTAATGGCTCCAAAGGCCCCTCTTCCAAATAGCATCACGTTGGGGGTCAGGCTTCAGCATATGAATTCTGGGGGACAGAATTCAGTCCACGGCAGAAGGAAACGTGACAACTGGAGGGAGGTGCTACCTTGCTGACTCTGCAGATGGAGGAAGAGGCGAGGGCTGAGCGCACGCAGCTCTAGAAGCTGGAAGAGGCAGGAACAGACTCTCCCCTCGAGCCCCCAGAGGGAGCACTGCCTGCTGACACCTGGATTTCTGCCCAGTCAAACCGATTCTGGATCTCTGGCCTCCAGAACCGTAAGAGAATAAACGTGTCTTGTTTTAAGCCACCAGTTTGTGGCCATTTGTTACAGCAGCCACAGGAAACGAACGCAGTGACCCACTGTCCTGGGTGCCGTGAGGGACCGCAGAGGAGTGTCCACATCACTGGACAGCGTCATCCCTCCCCCTCTGCTACAAGACACTCGCTCTCCCAGCTGTCAGGGCTGCTCTAGGCTGTGATAGGCAGCCTGTCGCAGAAGATTCCAGGCCTTGTTGTACGGAGACCGGGCAGAGGCATCCAGAAGAGAAGGGAAGGCAGGTGGCCACACCACGGGGTCTTTAAAGGTCCCTTCCACCCACAAGGCCACAGAGTTTAGGGCAATGAGCCTTCTTGAATCTCTCCTCTCACTTTAGCAAACGGCCCAGAAGTCGCCCGTGGGACAGCCGCAGCGCTCCCGGCTGGCTGCCCTGAGCGTGGGGATGTGCATGCAGAACCTGCCGACTCGCCTCAGGTCAGCACGGCTTCACACGTGCCACGCCCCTGGTCTGAGAATGTCACCCAGATGAGAGACTGACAGAAAGGAGAAGGCAGATCCCCGGCTCCAGGCAACTGTGTAACCGGGTTTGATAAAGTGCAGTTACAGTAATTAAAGCCAAACCATCTGCTCTCGAAACGCTCTTTCTCAGGATGTCTGAGCCTGTGTCAAGGGGGTGGCTAGAGTTCTCCTCTCCCCATTTGGCTGAAGATCCAAAGGGCCAGGGAGGAAGCTGCCAGCAAGCCTCCAGAGGGACAGGTGGGCTGCCCCACAGGGACTCCTGGCCAAGGTCACAGAGAAGCCCAGAGCTTTGGAAATGCCTCGACCTCCACCCACAAAGGCACATGCCGTGGCTCTCAGCCTGGCTGAGTCCCCGGGACTCTGAAGGCCTGTGCCTGCCCCTGAGCCTGGCTGTCCAAGCTCCTCCCCCAGGAGAGCCGCAGGCAAGAACCACCCTCCCAGCTGCCAAGAAAGGGCCTGCGAGCTGTTTAAGAGCAAACTCCAGCTGTCCCCTCGCACTCTCATGGCCTGGAGCTGGGAGACCTGGCTGACACGGGTGTCAGACTGACAACCTGGGTATTAAATGGGCCTGTTATGCAGGCGTCAGCCAGAAACACAAGTAAAATTCTGCAATTGCAGAAATGCAAGGCCATGGGCTCCCAGAGAGGCCTGTGCAGAAACACCCCATCCCAGAATACAGTTAAGTCCTGCTCCTAATGACAGAGTCGGTTCCTGGTCCCACGGACCAGACACAAGTGCAAAGCCACCTCCATTTCCAGTGGACATTGCCCTCGGGGAAGAGAGTACCAACTTTCAACGGGCCGTGGGTCCAGCCAGGGGGGCACCTTCAACAGCAAGGGGAAATCAAGGCAGCCATGACCAGAGCGACCCAGCCTGAGTCTCGCAGCCCCTGCGGCCGGACTGTCGAGGAGTCAGTGAAATTGTGAAAGAAAAGATCCTTTAATGCATCAGGAGGGGATACTGCCAACCACGTCACTAGATCATGGAAAAGATGGGCTGTCTCTGCAGCGTGAGGTCAGCGGTCAGAGGAGGCTCTCAGGTTTGAACTTGGCCTCAGCGTCGCCCCGCCCCGTTGGGCGGAGTGAGAGGAGCCCACACGCCAAGGGCCACCAGCCAGCAGCTGTGCTGTCGAGAGTTCCTGAAGG